GTCACCTGAAAAACACAGCTAGAGCAAACATTAACATATCGTGACGGCAAAAACACCGTAAATATTTCTGAAATGCTGCGGCGGGGCGGCAGTTTTGCGCAGCGGTTGAGGTTCGGACTTTTAATCGTAAGGTCGGGGTTTCGAGTCTCTCCGCTGTGCAGATTCGCTTGTGTTCTTGGGCAAGGTACTTTAGCTACATTGCTTCAGTCCACCCAGCTGTATCAATGAGTACCAGCAAACTGCTGGGGACTAACCTGCGATGGACTAGTGTCCCGTCCAGGGGGAGTACAACTCTCATCCGCTTCACACAACAGAAACTGGGGATAAGCTCCAGCCCTATGAGCCCCAGTGGCTCGGAAAGGATTTAATAGTAGTAGTTTAGCTGTGGCTTCGAAATTTAATATAGAATAATAATAATAATAATAATAATTATTATTATTATTATTATTATTATTATTATTATTATTATTATTATTATCATTATTATTATTATTATTATTATTATTATTGTGAATTTTAAATATTTAAAAATTATAATAATTATTGTAATTATCTCTTTTGTAAATAACATGCAATTTGGCCTTTGGCCACTATATGTATATTTTATGTGATTTTGAAATAAATAAAGTGATATAGAGTATATTTAAAATTAGAGCGCGAAAGGATTTGCATCAAAATAGTATACTAGTGTGTATATTTGTTTATCATAAAACGGAGTCCCAATTTTAGTTTCAATGCTAATGTATTTCTTCGCCTAACTTTCATTGTTCAGCAGTGGAACCTCGCTTATTATTACCTTTGGTGGGGAAGGGGGGTCTTGGCCCAGTGCCATCCGGTCTTGTGAAGCACTAGAATCGTTGCTACACTAGACTAGATTTTTTCCCAGCAAATGGCCAGTTTACAAAGGGTCAGGGATGCCAAAAGGCTGGTGGGCAAGGGGCCGAAACACACTCCATCAGTAAATAAGAATAAGCTCGAGTGTAGTTTTAATTTTCATTTTGCAGTTTAGTAACAATTACTATTAAATATTGTTGGTTTTGTACTATGGAAACTGAATTCTGAAATAAAATGTTGAATGAATAAATGATATCCATTGTCTATAAAATTGTTATTTTAATTACTGAAATACATTTTCTGTATCATAAAAAAAATCAACTTGTTTTTAATGTGAATCCATAGCCCGCAATGGTTAGAGGCTGATGGATCCATTTTGCATTGATAACGATGCCCTCTTCGTTCCTGTGTGTTGCTGTGAATATCTTCTATGTTTGGTCGGTGTATCGGGTGTACATTGTTTAGTTTCTGCGTACAGCAGATATCAGCAATTTCGGTAAAATAATTTGTCTGACGAAGTTGATAACAAAACTTATCAGCATGTTCGGTTTTGTTAACGACTTATATATCGGTATGTAATAATGTTTGTTCGATCGATACTGCGAGTTGATATGGGGATTTTAGCAAGGTGTTGGTATCATATGATGACTTGACATATATTTTGCTATATGACTTCAAAATGTGTCATCGTGGAATGGTCGTGATTGATTGAAGTCCGTGTTTTATACAGCTTTCTGTTTTTGAAATATTGACAGAATAATATCGCTTATAGGATATTAAAAAGGACGTTGGAATTATGGGAAAATGTTACATTTTTTAAACTGAGCTGTAATCATCGTCATAATCATCATCATCATCGGTGCCACTACCAGCATGTCATCGCCATCGTTATCATTACCATCAATGCCAACACCACAATCGTCTCATCCTCCTCATAATTATCATAATCATCATGTTTTATAAAATTTACAGATCTCTTATACACATCTAGATGTGTATAAGAGACAGTATATGTAGTGGATATGAAAGGCTTGATGGTTAAGATGCTTTCCCTCCAATCGCAGCGTCCGGGGTTCAATTCTTGTCACGGAACAGGGTTTCTTCTTTCTTTCTCACGACCAAGCCACTCCCAAAGCCTCAGTGTTAAGCTTGTCATTAGTTAACGCTGTTCTCAATTTAATTTCACGACTTTATATAATTAATTTGTTGCGATTTCTTGTTGCTGTATGTCTTATAATATAATTTATTGAGTTTGTTTTATTTTGAATTTGAATGTTTTCTCCTGAGGGAGGTGTAAAATTGTTTGATTGAATGATTGATCATTGATAGATTGGTTGGTTATTGTATTGATTGAAAAATCATCATCGTTTTCGTCACCACCATCAACGTCATCATCATCATTATAATTAACATCATCATCATTTGCATTATCATTATTATGGCCTGCTCATGAGAGGCAATCTGTGTAATCTCATTTTAATATGTTATATCTATATAGCGCTTAATGCCAACAAGGCCTCCCCTAGCGCTGCACATTACTACCCCCGGTCATTGGATTAAACTCCTATGGAACAAAAACTCTTCCATAAAGTTGCAGCAGCTACATCAGCGCATTTTGGCATTTAACCCTACCAAATTTAATAGATTTCTGAGGAGGAAATCTGACAAAAATAGTGCCTTAAAAATGTGGAAAAATACGTTAAGGCCTAAAATTCATTCATTCATTCTTTTATTTCGGAATCGATAATTTGTTCATACATAAATTTAAAAAAATCAGCAAAATATGTTGGAAATAATCTATATAAAACATATTATGCAACAATACAAGACATTGGCTATCTCAATATACAATTCTTTCGAGAAAACATACGGTATTGGATTGCTGTAGTTTTTTTTTTAAAACTACAATGGAAACTACAGTACATTGTTTTACTAATTATTAATTTTACATTATGAAGCCAAAAATCGATTTCCTAAGAAATTCATAAAAAGAGAGAATACTACTCTCTATGAACAAGGTGCTGGCACTGCAATGTCTAGGCTTTTGCAAGAGTATTCTGAGGGCATTATTTTAGCAAACTTTAAAAAAAATCGCAAGGTATACACCATATAGTGTTCCACAATAATTTAACACAGTATATTCTAATTAAGTGACACTTAACTTCAAAAAGAAGCAGGGGTGGTGCCAGGATTTGCCCGACGGGGTGGGGGCTGAGGTCCCCGACGGGGGGCCGGGTACCAGATTTCCCCGACGAAAGCAAAGTGGGCGTGGTCGAGCTTCGATTAAAAGGTTCCGAAAGTGGTCCTGGGGGCGAAGCCCCCGAAAATTTCGACAATTTAGGGGTTTCAAAGGCTTATTTAATCGATTTTAGAGTCTATTAATATGTAAAAAATACATATAATATTTTTTTCTCCCCGACGAATTGTGCTTTTTCTCCCCGACGGGGGGGGGGGGCAAGCTCTCCCCGACGGGGTGGCCCTGTCCCCCCCCCCCACTTTCGCCATCCCTGAAAAGAACACAGACTACATTTTTAAATAAAAAAAAGCTGGCTCTACTGATATATTTATATTATCTGAAGAGATGTCCAAGATATGTAACTGAATCAATGTATTACTCCAGTACAGTACTCCATTTTAACCATAAATTAAATCAAATCAGGAAAACTAAAATATAAGACATGGACACATGAGAAGATTTTTGTTTTTCACAGATGGAGCTCAGACCACTTTAGCCCCACATGAGGCACAAAATATTATGGCTTATGGCACTGGAAATGAAGCTCTCAGTGCGAGTCTCAATTTTCCCATTATTTTATTCTTTTTTAATTTATGCTGCCGGCTGGGTCCTGACTTACAACAGGCATGCTTAACTACTAGGCATAGTTTGGCAGATCAGACAAACTAAGCTTAGCTCAACTAGTCTTCAATTATATAATCTATACACATTGCTTTTGGTTCAATGTCGTAATAATTTATGCACGAAAGTGCGTTCTTCATGAGGCCTATCTATCATCGTCGATCCATGGAAAGAAAGACTACATATATCTAACTTCTCATTAATGTTGGAATATAGTAATATATTGCCTATGTCTTCGATTTTTTTTCTCTATGTGCGGGCCTAAAGAATGAAATAAAATCACTGCCTTTTTCAAAGGAGGGGAAACCCTTGAGTTTTTGAAAAAAATTATATCTATGTATGTGAAAGGACATCACAATATAGTTACGGTATATCTTGTCAACTACTAGTCCTAGAGAGTTGCTTTTTGTGTCAATTGTTCAAGATGGGTATGTTTCTATTCTAGTCTTCTAGTCCAAGCCCAGGTTCCTACGAGAAATGAGGCTCTTACACTTTAGGATGAGTGCGATTCTCTTTTTTATATTATAGTTTTAATTTTTCTTTTAGGCTAGCGGCTGCGCACACCAACACCCCCCCCCCCCCTGTTCTTAATAAATAGATGATTCACATGAATTTGAATATTATAACAGAGGGTCCGACTGGGATTAATATATGAATATCTTAATTCATTTCATGAAACACAAAGAATTAAGATATTAATATATGAATATCTTAATTCTTTGTGTTTCATGAAATGTTTGTTTTGTTTACCTGCTACTTTTCGCTCTATTTCATTAAAAAAAAATTTCTAGTTTACTTATCGTACAGACGTACTCTATAGTCTATTTGGTATTTATATTCAAAATTTATGTTACTTGCACGTAATTCTTTTGGCTGCCAATATCATAATATTACTTTAATTTTCATTACACTGTAATATAAAAGAGAGTTGCACAATAGCAACTTTTTGGAATTGACGATATTAAGGCCACAAACATTTGAGTAAGAGAGCTTAGAACGTTGTGAAATTAATTTGGAGGAGATAAACAGGGTAATAGGAAAAATACAGCCTTTCCTATATTGTAAATTCCCGTTTACAATCCTCAAATTATTGTAGAAAATCGATATAAGGATTCCTAATAGGCCTACCGTATATCAAGTTAAACAAGAATAACCCCAAATCACGTGACGGGACTAGCCAATTATATTCTGCGTGTTTATGAATATCAGTTTTACAGGTTATTAGAGTGTCCACCTCACATCGTTTTATTATTTCACCCTTTACTACCATACACCATACATACACGGACCTCTCGAAGAATTCACTGAAATGGAGTATCGGCATTCGAAAAAGTGAGTATGAATGTACATTTTGATAAGATAAACAAAAGAACAAACCATTAGTTTATTAAGTGATTACTAATTATTAGTAAACTGACATAGTATGCGCTCATGCGATTTTAGTCGCCCACTAATTAATGCAGAAATCAATTTTTGTTTTCCAACGATTTGTGGTGAGTTCTTGTTTCGGATACCTATGTCATCCCTGCCCCCCCCCCCCACAGGCGCATGTACTCCTGGATGCTCTTAAAGTAATTATGCTGTTAAGGAACACCATGTTAATTACATCAATGACTAAAAATAATGTAGTAAAAAAGGTAATGTTCCTGCTTCTTGCTTTGGACCCACAGGTTCAAATCCGGCCAACGTCTGGTTCTAATTGGAGTCGGATCGCTCTGTTCCTCGAATAACCCTCGCATGAGAGTTAGACGGGACAAGGGACAATGTACACGTTATAATGTCGGTTAATTGGCGCTACACTGTGGCTGCCGATGTTCCCCAGGGGCCAAGCAAAATTTTAAATTATTTGTAACTGGACAATAAAGGAAATTTTTTATTTATTTATTTTAATTATAATCAATAACAGACGAGTATTGATATTTTCATTTTGTTGGAAATTATGTACTTTAGACAAATTGCATATATTAATAAAAAATAATGTATGGTAATAAAAAAAATTACATTTGAATAAAATAAGTTTTAAAAACCCCGAGCAGTACTGACAGACGCTAAAATTATTTATGATATTAATAAGCATAAAGTTGTATGATAGTGACAAACATTTAAATTTTGTTAACTTTATTTAATGTTTCAATAAAAAAAGAACAATAAAAAAGCCTACTCCGTGGCGATTATTCAATTAACTATGGTAAATTAATCTCTGGATTCCAAACCATGACACAATAATGTCAAATATATTCATGAACATGAAAAGTTGAGATTATGTTAACGTTTATGAATGATAACCTACGATGATGATGATGATGATATTGATGATAATGATGATGATGAGGATGATGATGATGATGATGATGACGATGATGATGGTGATGGTGATGATGATCAAGAGTTAAACATGAGAATTGTGACGATTTTTAATAATAATAATAATAATAATAATAATAAATAATAATAATAATAATAATAATAATAATAATAATAATAATAAAAATAATAATAATAATAATAATAATAATAATAATAATAATATAATTATCCTAAAGTAAACCAAACAATCAATGATGAATTTTGATTATTATTTTACAGAAACAAGTTAGTACAGGCTATCTTGAAAGAGAACTGGGAAGCAGTTAGAAGCTTTTTGCAAACTAAACCACAATTGGTTAATACTTACGATGAGGTATGTACACAGTAATGCCTTAGGAACCTCACTTGTCGAGATAATGTTGATGAATTATCGAAAACTCGAACTCGACAAAATTATTTTATTAAAATTATGTTCAACCCCACCAAACAGTACAATTGTTGACAATTCACTCGCGTAAAACTTTTACGTTTAATTGTTCGCAATGGGTATTGGATATAGGAAAATAATAATAATAATACAATCGACCTGCAATAAACCTTTAGTTTTCAAAGGTTCATAAATTGGCCTATTTAGATATAGCCTAATAATAATTATTGCATACAGTATTGGATCTGTGTAGGACCTGCGTATTTCTTTAGAACTATTATCAATATTAAATTCAAAGTTCATAAACAGTAATTTATATGTCGGATGTTCAACGCATACGTAATTGATTTTATATAAGAGTGACTTACCATATCATAGATAGTATTATAATATTATTACAATAGCAATATGTCCACATAATTAAAATGCCTGTTGTGTTCGACGCGTATCTAGTTGTACACTTTTATATAACCGTGAATTACAGTTTCATAAATAGTAATATTTTCTAATATATAATAATAATAAGTCCAAATAATTCAAATACCGGTTATTGAGCGCGTGTGTAAGTATATATTTATATATGGTGAACTTTAGGTCATAGATAGATATATTGAGCATAGATATATTGCGTAGAAAAATGTTATACTGTAAAACGTAACGAAATAAGAGGAATGAATTACGATAATTTATGTGGTACGGTAGTAGTCAAACTCTCCTCAAACAAACAATCAATAAAGAATTATAAAAGAATGTAGGCCTATAATCTACTGGAGCGACCAGAAGGAAAACCCAAAGTCAATGAGCATTTTCATTAGATTTATTTAAATGAATATGGCAATCCATTCGTATGATGTTCATGACCACGGAGCAGTACCTACACAAAAAATAAAACAAGAAAATCACCAAATTAAGAAACATTTAGAAGGTGACGTCAAGATAAAAGATATTTAAAAAAAAACATAATTTTTTAAGATTGATGATATGGAAACAAATTGACAAAAGCGTAATGTCGGAAAAAGACGGAAAACTCTGAAAAAATTAATAGTAATACTACTGCAATAATTCCCTGATAGGTTAAAAAAAATGATCTGGCGCCCTCTATAGTTTATTACAAGTTTAGAAATACAGTGTACCGATAGCTTTGCACCATGAGTGTTACTCCAACTGCTCTATTAAAGAACACATGACCACCAGATACTGTTAAACGTAAATCAGTCCTTCCTGTTTTAATTACCGTAACTATTCATAATTAATTTAATACGTACTTTAAAATAATGTGATATAAAGTAGAAAATAAAGGGAATTTTGAATTTAATTCTGTAGATAGCGTACACTGGGTTTAAACCAAACAATATTAGGTAGCGTATATATTAAACCGTAATTATCAGAATAGTATGATTTCTCTGACTACAATATGACTGCTCCCGGCATTTGAATATAAGTATTTAAACGTCAATTATAAATCCAAATATTTTATTAATTCTATAATATTCACCATATTTATGACCTAAATTTACTTATATTAATCTAATAATATAAATATTGTATCCACAAACAATAGAGGGATTCAGGGACAAGTTTTGACAGATGAAGGGTCCAGACCAGCTCCACCATGATTTCTGGTTCTTGTTAGACCTACCGGGTGTTTTGGGGCTGTGTACGAGGTTGTAAGGCAACATCGCCTATTTTGAATGAAATTTTTAAATTTTTTTTGTGGAAACTTAAAAAAATCATAGGATCCCAGACCTAGTATACCTCCTGAACGAATTTCCGCTTTGCCCCCTTCTCCGCCCGCCCATCTGAAATGAATTATAGTTTTTTTGGAAAGGTTTACAGATTCTCTGAGATGTAAATATCTGGTAAATATATCAGTCTAGCGCCCTCTATAATTCCGGTGATGTCACGCAATACTAACTACCTACCGTAGGCCTATTAAAATTATGTAAATATCGTATTATTATTGTTTTAAAGAATATTTTAAGTAATGTTAGCTGATTTCAAAAACCTGAAAGTGTTTAACCAAAACATTCAACATACAGTATGTATTATTCAATTCAATAACTAATTAGATTAGGGCCTAAATACCATGAATTGTAATTTTGTACAGTAATTTCAGTAAGCATCACATGAAATTCTAATGTTATTTAACAAAAATGACAAACAAATCGAACTTGAACTTTAATTAAACATTTATTAGAAATGAGTAAAATTATATTTCCCAATTAGGCTGCATAGTGGGTTAGACAACATAATAATTACGTCATTAAATCAACAGATTTATTTTGAAATATTGTCCTGATAAATAAAAAACAAGGCAACAACAAGAATCAGAGAATAATATTACACGAGGAATAATAAAATTAAATCTGAAATACTTTGTCAGTTATATGCTTGAAATAAAATCAGTCTCATGTAAAATAACTTAAAACGTCAAAAAAAAAAAAAAAAAAAAAAAAAAACTCCTAGATCCTATTCACTAACATCCGTAGGCCTACTCAATATAATAGGCCTACGTACAGAGATAATAAAATGGTATAAAATACATTGGTTTAGATTAAACATGGCCTTCTGTATACTTATTTTAATTCTTAGTATACATTGAATATCATGGTACCAATACAAATATACAACTCGTAAAAAAATAATTTCGAAAAAAATGTAAATTGATTTAACTTCCAGGAATAGGAAAACGCGTGCAAAATAATATGAACTTGGTTTGATAAAATATTATGAAATAATTTGTATTTTCTAGAAAAATATGTTATTCTTTATATTCATTTTAATTCTGAATGTAATTGAAATTTCATAGTGTCAATAAAATTAAGAAACTCTTCAAAAAATCTTTCTTAAAGAAAAATATAAATTGAATCATGTAACAAAAGTCGATCTAAATAATAGAAAAATGCATGTGACAAAATATTTAACGGTTTGCTATTGATATTTCATTTTTTGACTTGATTAGTAATTCGATTAATTTTATTGAATGGTTTTTAATGTTTGATGTGATAATGATGTGATTAAAGTGTGTTTGTAATGTATGTGTATTTTGTAGTAGTATGTTGTTATAATCGTGTAGTGTGCATTCATGTTTGTTTTCGTAGGTCGACGAGACGCCGTTAATTGACGCTGTGTGGGCCGACGCACCAGACAACGTGTTGGAGATGATGATTGACGCAGCAACAAGAGAGAACATAAAACACGAGGACAGCGTGAGTGAAATTAAATATCATTACATTTTATACAAACAATACAAAACACATATTATGTATACAAATCATGCAACAAACAAGTGAACATCAACTCAACGTAGATTACAGTGATTTATTTCATTTAAAACTATAAATTATGATTTTATTATTTGATTTATATGCATCTCTAAAAAGCTTAGGCCTATGTTATGAACATGATCACTATTTTCTCAATAAAACTTTCAAAAAATATATTTTATAATGAGAGAAAAGTAATTATGTTTGGATTTGTTTTTATCAGTTTGGTTAACTAGATACATTAATGACAATAAAATTAATATTTTACACAAAAAGTTCAATCACTAAAAATGTGAATTTATATTAATTTAATCTAATAATAGTGTAAAAAAAAGACCTTTCGATTCAAACATTATTTGGCCGATTCTACTTTATAAACATCATCTAAAAAATATTAAATTATGTAATTAGTATTTAATAATGACTCAAAGTAGATTACAGTGATATGTTTTACTTAAAACTAAAAATTAGGATTTTACTACGGTATTTAATTTATCTGATTTTTTACAACACTAAAAAGCCTATGTTAAGGGCATGAACACTATTTACTCAATAAAAACTTTCAAAAAATATGTTTTATAATCAGAGAAAGTAATTATGTTTGGATTTGTTTTTATCAATATAGTTTACTAAATATATTAATGACAATGAAATTGATATTTTACACGAAAAGTTCAATCGCTAAAAATGCGAATTTGAAAGAATACTTGAATATAGTGTAAAACATAGGCCTTTTGATTCAAACATTATTTGCGATATTTTACATTATAACCATCATTTAAAAAATATTAAATTATGTAATTAGTATCTAATAATAACGAGTGAAATAATTAATGTATGGGTGATGTAACTGAGACGTTTGGTTTGTTGATATGTGGTGTCATAGTTTCTTGTTGTAGTTGGTTTTCCTGTGTTATAATTTTCTACTTTTCACTTGTAGCTGCATCAAACTATTCTCCATGACTTGGCGATGCAAGGACGTGTATCAGCATTAAGACGCGTGCTGCAAAAACCAAACATCAATGTTAATGGGAGAGACGACGTAAGTACAGTGTAATAAAACAACACTTTTATTAATTGTAAACAAATTAACATCATTGAATTCACAACATATTTTGTCATCACATTCTATTTATTCATATTGTTGTATATTTTATAACGCGCATGATTTATATAAAGCTAACTGAAAAATAATAATGTTCCTTTCAGTATTATCATCATCGTAAAATATCATCGTGATTTTTGAAATGGATATTCACAAATATTCTCATTATCATTGCTATTAATATGAATAGAATCATCATCATAATTTGTTTAATTAATATTCTATTTTATATTATCATTATCATGTTTATAATGATTACATTGAGAAAAAATTATGTACGATAATTATGAATGATTTCAGCTGTTTTACGTCGACGTATTAATTATTGCTGCGAAGCAGCCAATTCATATTCTTGACAGCAATTTGACCTCTGAAAGGTCATTGTTTGTCAAAAAACAATCGCCCAAGACAACTGAAAAGCGGAGTTTCCTACTTTCGTTCTGCCGGGTAAAATCAATTACTTTAGGCGACTTTTTGTAGATTAACCTACTCGTACCAACGTCGGCATGTCGCGACGCTGGAGTACTATTCAGCGTTTTTACTATATTTCTAGGTTTCCTATTTCTACGTTTAATCGGCTCATGTCTCAGCCACAATATTTTGAGGACAATATTATTTACGAACCCAGTTAAACTTATTTACTAGCCTATTTCAACGTGCTAATTATTACATTTAGGCGACGCTTGTTGTAGACTGGCATAGTGTTTTCGGCAATAAATACCATTTTATACACATGCGTAGATCGATTCGCCAGCAGTGAGTCATCGCCAGCAGCAGCGAGTCGCCAGCAGAGAGATTTCACTGCAGCAAAACACTATTGTACACGGTACCAACGCTGTTCTAATATAGGCAATGGGTCGTGCTCATATTATTTGTTATATTTTTATTATTCATTATTTTCACTTGACTCGCATAAATAATTTTGTTCGAAGAACATTTTATGCAGTTGTACTTCGCAGCACTTCACTTGCAATTTGCAATTTCTAGTTTGTAAATTCATATTCTTGTGTTGTGTCTGTACTTGACAACAAACTTGACATTGATTATCCTTTCATTGCAGAAGGGACGCACACCACTACATATCTGTCTAGAAAATAAGTACAGCCCTTATGGAGAACACCGCGAAATGGCAATGTGCCTCATGGAACATGGCGCTTTATTAATAAAAGACAAGGTACGGTAATGTACATATACAAATAAGAATGCATCATCAAAAGGATACCAGTCAATGGCTTTAATAAAACAACTGTATATCAGGAGGCACATTTCTTGTGTCTAAAACAAACATGAGAAATATCAAATCTTAAAAAGTTCAAAATAAGTAATATTCTACAAATATTTTTTTTTTCAATTATTTCGGTACCAATAAATTTAGTGATAACAAATTATTGTAAAATTATCTTGATGCTAATAGTGTTGTTGCATACTTTGAAAATATTATTTTGCTATATTTTATGAATAGTAATATTAAAATAAAATGTATTTATTAATTTTGATTTGGATTCTTTACACTAATATTTAATAATTCTTTTCATCATATTCAATTTGGAAACTGTCATCGAATGTAATACAACTTTTGTGTACTCGTGTCTGTTATTGCAGAAAGGAAAGACGCCTTTTGATTTGTATGATAGGAATAAATGTGGTAAATACGGCGGTCGATCCATCAGACGAGAGAAGAAGGAAGAACTGAAAAAGTTACTTTTAGGTAAATTGACGAACCCATTGTATATTTGAGAATTTAATTATCTGCGGTATATAGTCTGTGCATGAACGCCTAATAAATATACTCAAGTTTTAAAGTTTGATTTTGAAAAAGGTTACAGGGCCTACACATTGGCATTTTTCCAATATTGTTTTATCTATATTGTTATGACAATGCTATTTAAAAGATTTATTTAATTTTGTTTTTTAAAGTTATAAATAATGTAATATACCAGTACTTGAAACAGACATATTTTTATTTTAAGCCATGATACTTCCTGCACAAATTAAAGTCAGAGGAAAAGATGCAGTTACTGCCTTTGTCAATGAAATTGAAAAAGGTGAAATGACGTTGGTAAATAACAGAGTGATGTTTCTAGGAAAGGAAGGGGCTGGTAAAACCAGCCTTGTAAATTCCATTCTTGGAAAACAGTAAGTGAAATGTCCTTATTTTATTTCTATTTAAATAGAAAGATAGGTTGGTTTTATATATATCTTAAGGTTAAAGAAAGGAAGCTGACTGATTGAAGCTATTTTAAATTACTCTATTTCAACAATTCTAACTAAACTATGTGAACTTTTAATAATATTTATTTGTAAATCGTCTCTTCATGAATGAAGTGCTCCTTGACTGCTTTCAAAGATAATGCCACTTTATCGTTTCAAGCATGTTATTTTGCGCGTGTGTGTGCGTATTGTACGCTCGTTTGTTAAAAATAATTTATTAGGTAAAGAATGTGTTGCTAGATCAACGATCAACAAAGGTCAAATTCAATTAGGTCATAATAAGCCTCAAAGCAAAGATATCTTTGCTCATACGTAGACTAAGAGTAGAAACTGTAATATAATTTTTCAACATATCGAAACATTTATTAACTAATTAATAATGAAAAATTATTTCGTGTATGTAATTATTATGGAACGTAATTCATTATTATTATTATTATTTATTATTAGTATCATCATCATCATCATCATCATCATCATCATCATCATTATTATTATTATTATTATTATTATTATTGTTATTATTATTATTTAACATTAATTTTTTATTATTACTACTTTAATATTAGCATTATCATTATAACCATTATTTTTCCTTTTTTTAAAACCGCAATAGATTCAATGAGAATGAACCATCAACTTGTGGTATTCTAACAACAACAGCATTTCAAACTGTTGGTGAAGACTACAACAAGTGGGAGGAACATAAGGATGTAGACGGTATGGATAATAGAATTATCGTAAATATTTAAATAAACGCCCTGGGGAATTTATTAAAGGGAGGCGTTTATAATATTTTGGTGGAAAATATGTACGTATGTATATTTTATTATATGTATAACTATAAATAGGTATGCACTAATAAACGTTCTGTAATTTCACAGTAAATAGGCCAAATGTATTGCATGATCCCAACAAGAAGAAAACATGTAATTCTACTTGGAGTAGAACATTTATGAGAGTGAGAATGATGTTGCTTAAATTCGTTTTGTCTACAGAAATTCTAGTGAAGCGTTTATTCCAATTGAGACTCACGGGGGTGGGGGGATATTTGAGTAGGCGTTTATTCTAATAAATACTGTTACTTATCAAATATACGTGATCACAAATGAATTTATTAAAAGTCACTATAGATAATAATTATTTGATTATTGTACAGTGTATGAATTAACCAAGCAAATACGAGAGTATAATATAGCAGAAGGTATTGCAAGGAAGTTGGAACCACTAGAAGACCAGGAAACCACATACATGTCCGTATCATCCAGTCCTTCAGAATCTCATTTGGTAGAATGATAAATGCTTTATTTTAAACATAATTTTTACATTTCACTATAGTTTAAATTTGTACCTATTTTGCTTTATATTATGATATATGTGTTTAAATTTTTAAAACTTTTGTCAGAGTCAGAGAGTGCCATTTTCGCAGTGGGGAGGGAAGGTTTTTTTTTTTTGTTTTTTTTTTTATAACGATCCGATGTCCCATGGGGGGGGGGGGTGAGAGTTGGCCCTTTTATTTTTCTACTCTTGGACCAAACCCATCGCCAGTAATAAAGATAGTTAACTAACGCTATACAGTGCCATTATTATTCAATGTATGTAGATTCTTTTTTTGTCATATTCAAACGTACATAAAAAGTTTTTATTTTCGAGTTTAGCAACGAGTGTGTACACATGTTAATTGGCGTCTGTCAATCAATCAATCAATCGAAGAGATTTGTATAGCGCCAGTTAGTAATGTTTCTTGGTGTTGAGTGTTGAGTGACGATGGTATAATTACACAGTGCATAAAATGGTTAATTTCATTATCAAATAAGTTGAAATGTATTTTTCTTCAATAATAATACTAATAATTATACTCTAAATTGTAAAGCGCGCGTCTATGTTTCCTTGAAACGTATTCATCTTTAGCCTAAAGAAAACAATTGATCGAAATCTTCCTTCTTGCGTAAATACTACCACAGGGTGTAGGTAGGCACTCTTTTTGGAATGCTTTTGTTCTCATTATGTTAAGTATAAAACCTGTCCAGACTCTTAAATTTAATTTGAAGGAAAACAAAAAAACATGTGACATGCCCTAATATGGTCATGATGGCGTCACATCATGACCATATACAGTGTAACCACATTTAAATTTCATATAAAACAAACACAATAAAATTTTACTAATTTAGACAAATTATTAAAATAAAGTTCTCTAAAGGTTAACTACAGTTTTTTTTAGTACAAATTGTAATTAAAATGGTCAACAGGCTTAGATACTCGCTATGCTCGCATACTGGATTAATTACCCCTCCCCCACTTTCTAAAACGTTCTTCTGACATTAATCCCCTTATTTTTGATTCGTCACCTGGCCGTTTTACGGTATTTTGTAGTGTTGATATTTGGTACTTGATGTTTCCACATTTTCAACTATGCTATTAATGTTTTATTGTAAATAGAATATTTTATCTACATAGGAGTAACTAAAAATAATGATTAAAACAATAATAATTTACCAACTACTATACAATTTTTACAAACTATTTTATTGCAGGAACCACAACCTACAAGTCTAACTTCAGAGAAAAAGGGTATTTATTATTTAAGAACACTGTTCATCACTTCCCTTATATCATTACAGGGGAATTGGGCAGCCTTGTTTGCTTTTACATTGCACGTTGTCTATTTTTCAAATGCCAGCTAAATAAACTTAAACATTCCCCTGACGAGAGCGTAATAAGGTGGTCAGGCATCGCTCAAAAGGGATACAGTGAAAAGCTACCGGGAGTTAAAGTTTAGCTATTTCAAAGGCATGTAAAAGCTATATTGTATTTCCTCCCCAATGAATTGTAATTTTTCTTTTCCTCCCTCCCCCTCCCTCTCTAATTTTGCCATGATCTTACGCGCATTTACTTGATAATTAAGCCCTCCCCCACTCAGATTTTCACATGTCCATTTCATCTTTCTGTCGATAATCCTAGATTTTAGAATTCCTCATACCTTTCAGTACATTTTAAGCAATAACATAATATTGCTCATGGTTATCTTATCATCTTTTCTTGACATTCCTCATAAATTTCATTCAATATCATCATCATAATCATTCATTTATTATTACATTATCCTCATTAATTTAGTATTGTATTCCATTGTCATCACAATCATCCATCTTCAGATCATCTCTTCGGATCTCAAAATATATATGAGTTCGAATTTTATTTCCTTTTTTTTCAGAAACTTCTGATGTGTCTCAGAGTGCTGCAAATGTTCAGTTCGATAGACTCCCAGAAGAAATTTTAAAAAAAGTTGTAGCTAATCTTGACCGCCAGAATCCTGAACCAAGCAGGAGCGCAGAAGAACCAAAACCCGGCATTTTTAAACGATTCTTCATGAAAATAACGAGAAACAAGCCTACTAACAAAGATGCACGCTTTGAACGTGTTGTTGAACGTGTTGTTGAAAATGTACCTAGTGATGTAGCATGTTTATGGGATTATGCAGGCCAAATCTCATATTATATAACTCATAGGGTAAGCAGCATAGCACTTTACTGATTATAGTGTACAAGGCTACATTTTAATATTATTGTAATTGTCACTGGATATTACATTATCTGTATCAGAAATAGATTTGTTTTTCTTTAAAATGTGATGTTATAATAAACGCAATTAATTAATAATAAAGAAAAATTGGTCGTCTGAAAAGTTTAATCTCAACCATATGACTATAGCCAATCACATACTGTTCAATATTTTGAGAATTCTGGAGGTGCTTAAATTATATTTTTTATTAAAGTTTAAAGCCAATTCTCATTAGGCCTACAGCCACTAACGTAGTGTTCACTCGAGAGTTCGTGGATGTTTAAATATATTAATGTTTGTTGCACCACTACAATGAAGTAACAAAAATATTTTTTAAAATATGATAAATAGGCTACAGCAGCATTACTTATTCACATCAACATGTATTAAAATAATAAGTACATAAATCTACAATGAAGAGTAAATTGGAAAATATTATTTAGATACGGTAAATTATTAAACAAAAGAAAATACGCTAATGCCATAGAAACTTACAAACAGAGAAAAATATTTAATCATGGAACGAACAAAGCCAAGGATAACCCATATGACTACTTTCATTTGTGTCCTTAAAATTATTGATAATACAATAGCGATCGTGCTGATAATAGTTGATATAACGGCGCATATCTACTCAACAACACTAATATAGTTTACGCACTTAAACCAAGAACTTTCAAAATGAAGTAAGCGTTGATTATTTAATTTTCTTTTAATGATCAGTTGACATTTAGGTGATGTTTAATTTTACTTTATGTTTAATATTTTTCCATTAATCGATCAGGTGTTTACGTACTTATTTTTTCCTTTCCAGTTTTTCTTGACAGATGGATCGTCATATGTCGTTGCTTTTAGTTTGTTTGAGCCTTTAAATGAATTGGCAAAATCAAGAGGTCCACTAAAAGTAAATAAATCATTTCAGTTTTTCTACTATGCAATAAAAGAGAATTAGTTTTCATTAACTTATTGCATATCATATCTGTTTTTGTATATTAACTATGTTCTTATATTTTGTATAGATAGTTTGAGTAACTTAGTAATTTAATAGTCTTAACTATGACAGTCATTTTCTTCTCTCACTTTTCTTTATTCCTTTCTTCCTTTTATCAGGATCAGTTTGAAATGACTAATCTCCAAATGATTATTTTCTGGATACGGTCAATATATGAGCACGCTGTACTACAATATAATGTAAGTACGAAATTGATAAATGACACGATAGCCTCACCCACAATCAGTTTGGTTGGCACTCACAAAGACAAGTTAGAGGGAAGTGAGGAGGATAAACAGAATCAGGTAAGATATTACATCTCAGCTTTAGACATATTATAGTATACTCGAATTTTGTGTAATAATAATAATAATAGTTGGATTTGTAGAGCGCATCATGCGAAAAAGCCTGTAAAAATTTTTTTAAAATGTTAATACATAACGTGATAAATTTAATCTCTACATAAACAAAGTATTAACAAATATTCCACTTGTTCCCAAAAGTATCTATATCAGTGGCCTTGCTAATACTAATACTGTATTGTAGTTATTTAACACTAGATTTTTAAATAAGTATTTTATTGAAAATTTCTTTTACAAGAATTTGTCTTTTTGAGTATGCCCATGACGACAATGACGGTGGTGTTGGTTATAATGATGAAAAAATTCAAAATTAGCAGAAAAACTGCAAAAAACACCCAAAAAACGAAACCTTGCACGCATTTGACTAAGTGTTCAGGATGATCTTCACCACTGGAATATATTTATTATTATTTTTTTTAAATTTATATTTCCAACATAACATAATACATCAAACGACAATTAAATAACATGACGAGAAGAAAAGAAAAGAAAAAAAAAACCTACGTCACTTCACCCAGCAGGACACTAAGTAATGGAGCATCATTAAATAGAGGCAGGGGGAGAAAATACTTTCACCAGTCCACCGGAACATCGAAACAGCATGTAGCATCCAGTCCCAATCCTCTAACAGACAGGAATAGACTTCACATGCCGACCCGTCCGTTGAGTATCTTCACCGGACGAGTCAACAAAACGTCTTCAACGGAAAATAGTTATGATTTATGGATGTAGGCGGAGCCACCTGGGCTTCAAGTTTTCCTCCCAGTCTGAAGCTATTTTTATGGCCCTCCACCCAAAAGTAAATCTTTATTTACCCCCATGTCCATCATTGAAATCAACTTTTATTTTATTTAAAGTTTACCAATGTTATCATCACCCATCCTTAAAATTTATTTTATTTTCCTATAGCGACTAAATCATTGTCCTATTAAATAGGTGGCAATCCCTTCATATGACAAACATAAACACATGGTGCTTTACATAAACTCATAATGAGACTTATGGAGTTTTTTTTTAATCGTGAGTGAAATATCCTGGGATCCTACAGGATTTAAACAATGACCTTGAGATTGGAAGGTAAGCATCCAATCTATTCAACTCCAAACCCTTTCAGGACAATGTCTACACCATACACACAGTTTTCTACAGCTACTTCCATGCCTTCCAGTATTCTGCACTACAAAGTCAACAGACCAGTAAACAGGCTATAAGTAATCCGTTGTTAGGAAGTTCACCACTCTAAGTCATTGAATCCCAATTTTGGATGCTCTAATGTGCTTTGTTTTTGTAAATGTCAATGTATGAAAACACAGGTAAAATGAAATTATATGAAATTGTACTATTTGATTTTATTCAAAGATTGAAGCAATATTCAAAATAATATTTGAAGAAATCAACGGGATGCCATTCGAAGTTCATGTTGACAGAACGATGTATGCTGTGGATAATACATCAGCAAATGACAAAGGGATTGAAGAATTAAAAAAAAATCTCGGAGGTTACACAAAGCAAATGGCAAAAAAAGTTCCCACAAAATGGGTTGATTTCCAGTCGAAAATCCAAGAAGTGGGGAAAACAACACTGCGCATGTCCTTAGACGAGGTACCATTTTGTCGTATTTTTCCTAAATTTCCTCAGCCTCATAAACATTCTATAAAATTGTGGAAAAATATTTTAGAATTAATTATAATAAATGTGATTATTATTATTATTATTATTATTATTATTATTAATTATTAATTATTTTTATTATTTCTATAACAAGGTTAGATGTAATAACATTTCACTGTCATGAATATTTTTATGTTGGTTATATTTATAGACAACTATTAGAGTGTTTCTAATATTTTATTCAATATTTTTTTAGGTCAATGAGATTGCTGTCAATTGTGGAATTCCGAACGAAAACACCATCCACATCCTCAACTATTTAAATGATTGCGGAATCATTATGTATTCGCCAACTAACATCAAGTTGAAGAACACTGTGATTACTAACGTGCACATGTTGATTGAAATCTTCACAAAAGTTATCACAACAGAAGATCAGGTACTACAGTATTAACAATCAAGTAAACTGGCGTGCGGGATAGACCATACACATTTTAACATGCAGTATAAAAAATTATCATTTTCAAATAACACTCCTGACCAGTTCTAGAATACATAATGTGTCTTAAAAAATGGAAAAAACCAAATGGCATTCACAATTTCCTAAAACACTTTCATTATTAACATTGTGTTTGGTGATTTGATTTATATTTAGAGACCTGCAGTGATGGCGTCATGGCATCTGCTTGATAAAGGCATTCTGAGTGAGGCATTGCTACGTCGTCTGTGGAAACATGAGTTAGAGGAAGACAACAGCAACTTTGAAGTTTTTATAGAACTGATGAAGGTTTTTGGACTGCTCTTTGAGAAACAAAAAGTAAGTCAATGTCTCTCTGCTTATCATGTACTGAATATGAAATAAGAAATTCCATACGAAATTTTTAGTAGCCCCTGCTACCTTATTCGGTGTACGAGTATCGTATATTATTTCGTATATAAAAACAGTGGTGGCGCCAGGACCTGCCCGACGGAGGGGCTAAAGGCCCCGACGGGGGGGGCTAGTGGAGCGAATCGAGTCTCACTGGGCTGGGGGCCGCCTAGGGCCCCCGGTGGGGTCCAGGGGCGAAGCTCCCTGGAAGCCACAGATATTTGATGAATTATGGCGAATTTTTATTACTTACCGTACTTGATAGGCATCGAGTTACTATAATATGACTTCATGTAGGCTATGCTTTCTAATGTTGAAATCAGCTTCCAAAACCAAATCATTTTGAATAAAGCAAGAGTATGCAATGTAACCATCTAATTTATTTTCAAATCCTCATTCTTGAAAGTGAAATATATATATATTTTGGAAATTTTGCATGAAATCTGTCAACCACGTTGTCATGGTCGAGGTTGCTTCACCTATCACGATGTATTCCAACCATCATGAGGCTATCTAAATGAGCATTTGTCATAACAGAACGCAAATTATTTT